CTTAAACGCTCAACCTAGTCGTCTTTCAGACTCTGAACACCTGGAGGCCGCTTCGGGGTCGATGCACGCCGAAAGTACAGTGTTGATCGATTCCTGCAACTGTGCGCCTACCGTAACCTTTACCACAGCAGCACTGTTTTCCAGCACAAACGTTCACACCGCGTCACCTGGCGCCCACCGAATTCCTCAACAATCTGGACCCAAGTTGATCATATTGCCATCTACGGATGGCGCACGTAGGTCCAAGACTGTCGGTCAATTTGCAGCACGTGCCTGAATTCCGACCGTGCTCTAGTGCGCGAGCGCTTGGTGCTCACTCTTACCGCTTCAAAGAAGCGCTTATTTTCCAACATTTTTACTTGTATTTCGAGTCCATAATCTGCGTCTCAACAATATCAAAACAAACTGGCTCACCAACTGCTTGATGAACGAGATTGATGTGCCAAACGCTGACTGGGGTGGTCTCAAGCGTGCCACGAGGAATGCGTTTGGCGCTTGCTGTGCACTAAACTTGCGACGCCGCAACTGGGAATAGATATTTGTTGCATCGATCAGTTTGACCTAAGCACGTAAATAGGTTCCAATGAGTACTGAGTTTCAGCGTATCCGTAAATCCCTGAAACGATGTTTAACAAGGGGTCTTCGAATCGACCGGGAGCGTTGCTGGGTGGCAAGGGCCCGTGAGATGGAGAAATCCAGTGCTGTTGGTAACATCGTTATACACGTCAGCTAGCGGTTGGCAAAAGATTTCAGCTACTGTGCCGCACATACACATAACCAAAGAAAAATACAACTATCAGGTAATCGCCAGCTGAGCTGCCCAGTAATGCCGTAGGTATCCGATCCGGTAAGCTGCCAGCCGGCTACTACGCCGGTAAAAACAATTTATGTAGGTTTAGATTAATGCTATGAAATGATATCGTAGTTGGAGTTAGGGGCCAAGAGCAAAGGAGAGGGACACAAGGCAACTCACACACACGAACGCCACTGTGCTCGACTCCTAGTGAGCGATAGTGATCCAGCCAATAACGCTGTTCATCGTCCTTCGGTCACCCAACCAGGGAACCTACGTGAGGGGCTTCCAATCGAGGCCGGTGGTCAAAGTGTGGGCCTTCACTCCTCTCAACCAAGTCATTGTTTGACTACCTGTCCTCTTTTTCCATCCATACAGCCGATGCGCAATCAACGCACGTCGCGGGGACGCGGTGGAGTTGGCATGTGTAACACGTGGCCGAGCCATCGGAAACTTGGAGCTTGAAATAACGGTGCTCAATGGTTCATTACTTTTTCTTGTGCCGTAAACAAGGGCGTCGAACACGTTCGGTGTTCCCACCAGACTGTGATCCAAACTGCGAAGGCACCGATGGTCAAACGTAACTGGCTTCTTATGTCGTCTCTTCTGGGGAGCCAAGTTTCACAAACCGTACAGTAGGGTCGAACATACTGCTGCATTGTATACTCTACCCTTCAGCTCGCTCCGGCGCCATAGATCTCGTCTTGTTCCCAAGGGCGCTGAATACAAATTTCTAGATTGTTACATTTTTGAACGGCTTCTTGCTGATCCTTACCAAGAGTCATCGCCAACAGACGGCCCATGTCAATCTTGAAGGAAAGCTTTGCAATTGGGTGGTGCAATGCAAAGCCCGAAACGGATGACAGCCAGTGCTAATCCCTCCATTGCCGCTTGGCCTACCTTTGTTAGCTGTCACAGATGACGGCAATATAGTCAGCATATTCCAAGTCAAGAACTCGCTCACCAGGAAGCAGCCCCCACATCTAACTCGTGTCCTGTGATACACGATTTCCTGTGACTTCGTCAGTAGCGAGCTTGAAGAGGAAGGTGACAGCGGGCATCCTTGTCTGACGCCGCTGGAAATATTGAAGGGTGATGGAGAGCTTGCCGTATGCCCTCGCTCTGCCCGAGCTACGTGCATAAAGCGCCACGGATAATATGTACATATTTCTCGGGCACACCTTTCCTAAGTAGACAGTCCCAAAGGACACCGATCCACCGAGTCGAAGGCACCTTGATGTCGAGGAACACGGCAACGGGTGGGCCGCCGATATATGTGGCGTTGCTCCAACAGCTGAGGCACAATGTGAAACTGTGCTCGATATGGCCACGAACTAGACGAAACCCAGCTTGCTCTTCACGAATCTGGCTTTCACCAGTGTCAGTCAATTTGTGAAGGATGACAAAGGCAAGCAATTTGGAGGCAATGAAGATCAAACCGATTCCTCTAACTGCATTCCGATCGTGAGCCTCCCTTGAAAATTGGAACTAACAGAGCGGCTCTAGTCGGTTAGGAGCTATTGGAAACAGCCGAGTGCTATTCCAGCTCATGCGCAACGCTGGTCCGTGAAACCCATCAGTTTACGATACAATAACTGAGAAAGATGGACAGTTGATCCACTCTCAGCCTCGTCGACTAGGCCGTTTGGCTGATCATTTTTGCAGCAGTTAAACTGGCAAGGAGCACCGGTATGTTCCGATTGAGGTATCCGTAGTGCTCCCTGGTGTGTAGACGCTTCACCACCATTTGAGGCTTAGGTAGCTCATGAGCTTCGCCTCCTAAAGCATTACTAAGCGTCTGGCCAAGATGAACTCCCCTGACTCTTTTCAGAGGTGAGGCCCATAACTTGTAGGGGAGTTAACTTTCTTCTTCCAAGACGTTTGCACCACCGAAGCAGTCCCGTCTGATTAGAGTCTAGTTGTTATAACGCTCCTCTCTCTCTGCTCTATGCCACTGACAACTGTTGTACTGTTGCTAACTGCCCTGTGAGACTGCGACTGTCTAACTTCTCAGTGACGCGCCCAACCAACCTAAAGAAAACAAAAAGCCAGGTCGACAGAGAGTGTATTTCTACAGGATAGGTTAATTCTATTTGTTGGTAACCGAAATATGTTAATTTATGAGATCAAGGTCGCTCACTATTCTGCGTTTCGTTTTCAGCCAGTGTGAGTGAGTTCCACTCCACGGGTTAATCATATTGACGGAACAGTTCGATTCCTTTGACGCGGGCTGGTATTTGCTGGCCTTTCAATTCTCATTCGATTCTCAAATTCAGCTCCGCTTGCGTCTCTATTACCGGTGGACATCGTACTCGTCTTCAAAAAGGGCGTTCGATCAGACTAACAAATACAGAGGGATTAGTCTCAATTGCGTCGCATGTAAAGTACTCGCAGCCTTTCTTTTAAGGACGGTTCAGGCCATGGTACCCATGCAGAACATACGCGAAGAGCGAGCTGCATTCCGGCTCTGACCGGAGTTGTATGCAATCGATATCTTTATTCTCCGCCAAATACTCGGTGCGTCGTCAAACGTGTGGCCCGCCAACGGGTCCCGTTGTCTTATTAGACAACCCAGTTTAACCGAGCTGTTCTCTGGAGCTCTTTTTTTGTAAAGGATAGTCTGAGAAGTACGTCAACATTCTTTGAGCCATCTACTCTCGGGCGGAGTGCAGCTGTACGACGAACTTTCGCCCCCTCCTTTAGTATCACGTTTTAAATTTCGCTATGGACGATATCCTGAAGAGCGCTCCTGGAGAACTGCGGACTTTGCGGCCTTGAGCTGCTTCCGGGGGGAGTGTAGACTTCGTGAGCTGGAGTATACGGATGACATCGCTGTAATTTGCGATTCCTCACAGGCTGCCCAGAATGTGTTATGTATGTTAGCAGTGTCTGTCTCACAGTTTGGAATGACCTTTGTCCTTTGAGGTGGAAGGTCTTTGTACTGGACTGGCTTATAGTTTCTCCCACTCTTACTCTTTCAGGTCACTCCGTGGAAGCTGCATTGGCGCTAACGGTCTAATGGACGAGGTCTCTTTGAGCGTCTCTTAAGGCCCGAGTTGCGTTTGCTTATCTCCGCCACCTCTGGCGGCGAAGCGACCTCATTCTATCTTTGAAGTGCTGAGTCTACAATGCTACGGTGAGAACGATCCTGCTCTATGGTTATGAGGGCCTGGTCGTTCAAAGAACTTTCAGAAGCTGTCTGTCTTTGGTCACTGCTGCCTTCGGAACATTGCTAGTGTGCGACGGCAACGTCACATTGGTAATGAGAATGTTCGTCCAAGGATTTTCAGATCAGACAGATTTTGTCCGTCGCTGATCCTCATAATTTCACCGTATATACTTTAGTGGCTTGGGCGTGCTTCGCATGCCTGCTGAGTATTTCCCTCACCGTGCACTTTGCGCGCACAGAACTCGGCTGGAAGCGAAGACAAGATGACTAGCGAATGACCTTCGCTAAAAGTATAAGAGCGCTGACCTCACATTTTGCCGCGGTCAGGCGTTCTCGACTCCATGGTTGGAGAGCGCAAGGATCACGAACACACATAGCTGGAAACCCTATCGGAGATGCCAAGAAACCCTGTGCGATGACGAACATATGTGACTCTATCCCCATAACTGCAGTTCGCCACTTCCTTCCTAATTCCCTATTATTTCATTCTTCTTGTATTATATTCATAGGTTGTGGCACTTTTCCATATATATATATATATATATATATATATATGTATATATATGTATATATATGTATATATATATATATATATATATATATATATATATATATATATATACAGCGGCTACAGGGACTCCATTATTAAGAGCTACTTTCACTCCAACCTGGAGGGCCAAGAGACTGAGTTTGACTGGTTTCTAACCATTGAAGATCCAAAAATCACCACCATTAGATCCTTGAGGCACGCAAACCAACGCAACACGTTAAGGTCCACTCTCGTCGTAATGAAGACGGAATAATACACTTTGTTTGTCTTCAACGGAAGTGCATAGGCAGAAATGTATAAGGGATGGTCATGATTCGGTAGACGAAACCGAGGCGAGTGACTGAAAAAGCATTAATACAACACCTGTTCTAGTCTGAGCAGTTCAGTCAGCATCACATTTATCTTCTTTGCCGCCCGTTATAGCACGAATTTCTTACATATCACATATTATTTGTTAATTTTTATTTCTTTACCTGCACTTGAATTCTATGTTGCATCGCCGTCTTTTTATACTTGCAGAATCTATTGATTTGGTCGAGTATTACTCCACTATGGCAGATCAGCTTATGACTGATCCTTCCGAGTCATCTGCCTATATCGCTAATCCTGATGGAACCTATTCGGCAGTTCCCCTCACAACCACCGAGGATGGTCAAGTTGTGTTGGCACTTAATGAGATGGGTATCGGGGCTGATGGGGAAGATATGGTTGTCATCGCAGCTGATGACAACTTGGACATGGCCACGCTAGAAAATCTAATAGCTTCCGGGGCTGTGACGACTGTTACAGGAGAGAATGGGGTCGAATATTTGCAAGTAAGCTCTGCATTTTTAACCATTTATCACACAGCTTAATGATCCTAATTTAGAGAATGCTCAGCTTGTCGAGCTGTCGGCCGAACATATGCATCTTTTGGATCCGAACTCCAAGGCTTACTTTGCTGCATCTGGAGTCGGATCCGGAGGGGGTTTCGTTACGTTAGCAGGCCAACCAAGCGGAGTCACTTATCGCTGCCCCTCTTGCCCGGCTATGTACGCTAATGCGAACGCATTTACCAAGCACATGAGAGAAAAACATTTCGTAAAGGTCTACACTTGTCGCCAATGCGAGGAATTTTTTGAAACTCTGAGCCAACTGTTCCTCCATGCGAGACGCAGCCATGTAGATGCAAAAAAGCCGAAACGAAATCCGGCCAACTTCAAGTTTCATTGTGACCAGTGCAATTACATGACAAACAATGGAGGAACCATGGAACATCACAAAAGGGCGCATACCGGAGAGAAACCGTACATGTGCGATGTTTGCAACAAACGGTTCGCACAGAAGGCCAATATGAAAACACACAGGAATAGACACATCCATCGTGATAAGATTTTTCGATGTGATACTTGCAGCAAAGCTTTCTCTTCGTATGACATCTACCTTGCACACCTCCGAACCAGGGAACATGAACTCCGTGAGCATTTCGCTATGATGGCATCTTCCCAGGTAAGCGCAATTATGCCGTTGTAACTCAGTCTCTTTCAGCTTGCTTTGGAGTGTCTTGGATGCGCTGTCACCTTTGATAGCATTTACAACCTCAACAAACACACTCGAAGTTGCAGAATTGTTCGGACTTTACAAACGAAATTTCGATGTCTACCGTGCAACGCGTACGTCAGTGACGTGGCTTCTCTGAAAGCGCATGTCAAAGCCCATGAGGGAAGTCAGATCATCTCGTGTCCCGTTTGTGGTGAACGTGGCTTTCCAGGATTTAATCAGCTAAACCATCACATTACCCGTGCACACGCATTGAAGGTCAATCGACGCCATGTGTGCCGTTACTGCGAGTCCACATTTGAAATCAAGAAAGATCTGGATATGCATATTCGTAACATGCATTCCGAGGAGCGTAATGCTCGCCAATCTCGGGGTGCAGTTGGACGTCTCAAGTGCCGTTATAATCAATGCGAATTTACAACAAACTCCATAATGCTGCTGGACAGGCATCACGATCAACATCGGCGACGAGAGGAAGACGGTGAGGAAGTGAGCCTCAAGGTGGCACCACCCAAGTTAATTCAGCCCCGCCGGCGACGCTATAAGCATACCAAACGTGCCCGAGATTTCTACGCCTCTGAGGATGAGGCAGATAGTGGTACAGGCATGGGTGAGGATGATGAAACTGGAGATGACGATGCGTACGGCAATATTTTGGAAGATGAAAGTGAGTGACTTCGCTGTCATATTATCTGAATCCATAGGAATACCTTGTTCATATACTCGATAATTATTTGTTCTATTCAGTGACCGTCTTTTGATTATCGTCGTTTCTCAACTGCACCACCGCGCTATTGCTTGGTAGATCCACTTATGCCGGCGTATTATGCGCACATATTGGTCTGTTTCCCAATAAAATAGGGTTCTTTTTCTTTTCTATTGCTTCACTAAATGATAATGCATATCAGTTTAACTTTAAGCTGGACATTTTACAAACTTAAATGGACACGTGTTCTAAGCAGAAAATCAGCAATTTGTTAGCAACAAGTGAGGAATAAGGGGACTGGACAATGTTCAGGCCACATTGCGGTCAGGTTAATGCAGCGTGAAATGTACAGGCAGCTTGCGCTGGTGCAAGCCCTTTTCTCAGTCAGAATCGTCGTTCATTTCGACTAAACATAGTGACCTAGTTTTCCCTTGTCTTCCTATCGGCTTTCGCGTATGGTGTGTGTGTGTGTGTATGAACGATGCAGCTTCGCGATTATTAGAACAGCATAGACTGTTATAACTCCACTATACTTAGCCTAGTTTTATTAGCTTTCCGTTGTACGAAACGAGCAAAATGAGCGACGATCCATGGGGTGATGCTTCTCCGAGGCAGCGATGGTGTGAACGTCTCATTGACGCAATAGAATGCTTTGCCATGCTTGTGTTTGTCTACGGAAAAACCACCCATGAAACTGTTAGATTCATCAGTGTCAGCGAGTGTAGAGCAAGAAACCTCAACACTAAGTGAAAAGGTACCATTGCACAGTATAACTGTCGAGGAAACAACGGAGATGCTGACTCCCGATATCCTGTAGCGCATCGAAGGGAACTTTAGCGCAGATGCCGCGTCAACGGTGTTGCTACGACCACCACACTTCCATGTTCTTGACCTCGCTATGCACGCACCACAAGACAAGAAGTGCATTTTCATGGCAAGCGTGGGTGCAACCCATATCTGCAACGAATACATGCCCGCTCAAGAAAATAGACGCATGCCAACGCCTTCTTGCCCACAGTTGGCAACCACATGGAGGCGCAAATCGTGCTCATGAGTAACCCAGGTCAAATGTACTCAATGTTCATTGACTATGGAACTTGCAATGGCGTAACCTCCTCCATCTTCGTGACGCATATACATTGCATAGGTGATTATGGACAACATCGAAACGCACATGCTGAACAATCTAAGGAGGATCGCGTGTTCGTCCTGTCAGCTGAAGTTCCCGTTGTCTAACTTGTGCATGTTTAAGGCGGTAAAACAAACGTGTTTTTGAAAGGCTGAGCCTCGGTGAATCGCCTGCTGACCAACTCGACGCCTGACCAGTCGCAATGTGCGGCCATTCTACAGAGCGTTCGAATGGTAACAACAGGAATGCATGAGTAACGTTTTCACGATAGTAGTGAACTTGATAATGGCAGCAGCGGGACAGACGTTCGTCGATATATTATATATATATATATATATATATATATATATATATATATATATATCGACGAACGTCTGTCCCGCTGCTGCCATTATCAAGTTCACTACTATCGTGAAAACGTTACTCATGCATTCCTGTTGTTACCATTCGAACGCTCTGTAGAATGGCCGCACATTGCGACTGGTCAGGCGTCGAGTTGGTCAGCAGGCGATTCACCGAGGCTCAGCCTTTCAAAAACACGTTTGTTTTACCGCCTTAAACATGCACAAGTTAGACAACGGGAACTTCAGCTGACAGGACGAACACGCGATCCTCCTTAGATTGTTCAGCATGTGCGTTTCGATGTTGTCCATAATCACCTATGCAATGTATATGCGTCACGAAGATGGAGGAGGTTACGCCATTGCAAGTTCCATAGTCGATGAACATTGAGTACATTTGACCTGGGTTACTCATGAGCACGATTTGCGCCTCCATGTGGTTGCCAACTGTGGGCAAGAAGGCGTTGGCATGCGTCTATTTTCTTGAGCGGGCATGTATTCGTTGCAGATATGGGTTGCACCCACGTTTGCCATGAAAATGCACTTCTTGTCTTGTGGTGCGTGCATAGCGAGGTCAAGAACATGGAACTGTGGTGGTCGTAGCAACACCGTTGACGCGGCATCTGCGCTAAAGTTCCCTTCGATGCGCTACAGGATATCGGGAGTCAGCATCTCCGTTGTTTCCTCCACAGTTATACTGTGCAATGGTACCTTTTCACTTATTGTTGAGGTTTCTTGCTCTACACTCGCTGACACTGATGAATCTAACAGTTTCATGGGTGGTTTTTCCGTAGACAAACACAAGCATGGCAAAGCATTCTATTGCGTCAATGAGACGTTCACACCATCGCTGCCTCGGAGAAGCATCACCCCATGGATCGTCGCTCATTTTGCTCGTTTCGTACAACGGAAAGCTAATAAAACTAGGCTAAGTATAGTGGAGTTATAACAGTCTATGCTGTTCTAATAATCGCGAAGCTGCATCGTTCATACACACACACACACACCATACGCGAAAGCCGATAGGAAGACAAGGGAAAACTAGGTCACTATGTTTAGTCGAAATGAACGACGATTCTGACTGAGAAAAGGGCTTGCACCAGCGCAAGCTGCCTGTACATTTCACGCTGCATTAACCTGACCGCAATGTGGCCTGAACATTGTCCAGTCCCCTTATTCCTCACTTGTTGCTAACAAATTGCTGATTTTCTGCTTAGAACACGTGTCCATTTAAGTTTGTAAAATGTCCAGCTTAAAGCTAAACTGATATGCATTATCGTTTAGTGAAGCAATAGAAAAGAAAAAGAACCCTATTTTATTGGGAAACAGACCAATATGTGCGCATAATACGCCGGCATAAGTGGATCTACCAAGCAATAGCGCGGTGGTGCAGTTGAGAAACGACGATAATCAAAAGACGGTCACTGAATAGAACAAATAATTATCGAGTATATGAACAAGGTATTCCTATGGATTCAGATAATATGACAGCGAAGTCACTCACTTTCATCTTCCAAAATATTGCCGTACGCATCGTCATCTCCAGTTTCATCATCCTCACCCATGCCTGTACCACTATCTGCCTCATCCTCAGAGGCGTAGAAATCTCGGGCACGTTTGGTATGCTTATAGCGTCGCCGGCGGGGCTGAATTAACTTGGGTGGTGCCACCTTGAGGCTCACTTCCTCACCGTCTTCCTCTCGTCGCCGATGTTGATCGTGATGCCTGTCCAGCAGCATTATGGAGTTTGTTGTAAATTCGCATTGATTATAACGGCACTTGAGACGTCCAACTGCACCCCGAGATTGGCGAGCATTACGCTCCTCGGAATGCATGTTACGAATATGCATATCCAGATCTTTCTTGATTTCAAATGTGGACTCGCAGTAACGGCACACATGGCGGCGATTGACCTTCAATGCGTGTGCACGGGTAATGTGATGGTTTAGCTGATTAAATCCTGGAAAGCCACGTTCACCACAAACGGGACACGAGATGATCTGACTTCCCTCATGGGCTTTGACATGCGCTTTCAGAGAAGCCACGTCACTGACGTACGCGTTGCACGGCAGACATCGAAATTTCGTTTGTAAGGTCCGAACAATTCTGCAACTTCGAGTGTGTTTGTTGAGGTTGTAAATGCTATCAAAGGTGACAGCGCATCCAAGACACTCCAAAGCAAGCTGAAAGAGACTGAGTTACAACGGCATAATTGCGCTTACCTGGGAAGATGCCATCATAGCGAAATGCTCACGGAGTTCATGTTCCCTGGTTCGGAGGTGTGCAAGGTAGATGTCATACGAAGAGAAAGCTTTACTGCAAGTATCACATCGAAAAATCTTATCACGATGGATGTGTCTATTCCTGTGTGTTTTCATATTGGCCTTCTGTGCGAACCGTTTGTTGCAAACATCGCACATGTACGGTTTCTCTCCGGTATGCGCCCTTTTGTGATGTTCCATGGTTCCTCCATTGTTTGTCATGTAATTGCACTGGTCACAATGAAACTTGAAGTTGGCCGGATTTCGTTTCGGCTTTTTTGCATCTACATGGCTGCGTCTCGCATGGAGGAACAGTTGGCTCAGAGTTTCAAAAAATTCCTCGCATTGGCGACAAGTGTAGACCTTTACGAAATGTTTTTCTCTCATGTGCTTGGTAAATGCGTTCGCATTAGCGTACATAGCCGGGCAAGAGGGGCAGCGATAAGTGACTCCGCTTGGTTGGCCTGCTAACGTAACGAAACCCCCTCCGGATCCGACTCCAGATGCAGCAAAGTAAGCCTTGGAGTTCGGATCCAAAAGATGCATATGTTCGGCCGACAGCTCGACAAGCTGAGCATTCTCTAAATTAGGATCATTAAGCTGTGTGATAAATGGTTAAAAATGCAGAGCTTACTTGCAAATATTCGACCCCATTCTCTCCTGTAACAGTCGTCACAGCCCCGGAAGCTATTAGATTTTCTAGCGTGGCCATGTCCAAGTTGTCATCAGCTGCGATGACAACCATATCTTCCCCATCAGCCCCGATACCCATCTCATTAAGTGCCAACACAACTTGACCATCCTCGGTGGTTGTGAGGGGAACTGCCGAATAGGTTCCATCAGGATTAGCGATATAGGCAGATGACTCGGAAGGATCAGTCATAAGCTGATCTGCCATAGTGGAGTAATACTCGACCAAATCAATAGATTCTGCAAGTATAAAAAGATGGCGATGCAACATAGAATTCAAGTGCAGGTAAAGAAATAAAAATTAACAAATAATATGTGATATGTAAGAAATTCGTGCTATAACGGGCGGCAAAGAAGATAAATGTGATGCTGACTGAACTGCTCAGACTAGAACAGGTGTTGTATTAATGCTTTTTCAGTCACTCGCCTCGGTTTCGTCTACCGAATCATGACCATCCCTTATACATTTCTGCCTATGCACTTCCGTTGAAGACAAACAAAGTGTATTATTCCGTCTTCATTACGACGAGAGTGGACCTTAACGTGTT